GACCTTTCTCCCGCGCAGGCTCGAATGCTCTCCTGTCCAAAGCCCAAGCACTCGGCACGGCTTTGTCTCATGATCTTCCTTCACTGGCTCCGCGAACTCCTTCGCTGGCCTATTTTCCTTTTCACCAAAGCCCTCGACCGAGTGGTTTGAACTTGCCGATTCGCTCGAAGCTTCCAGGCTGGACTCCTCCGACTCTCCCGGTTCGGACGCGTTCTCATCAGCTGCGGTGTGTCAGCCTGCCAGGTCACCAATAAACAATGAATTAATGAAAAGGGGGCTGGGGGTTCTATTAAAATAAAAGAAGGAAAGCCAAAAAAAGGAGGAAAAAGAACTACAAAAGAAATAAAACGGAATTTAGGGACGAAGAATAATGGAAAAAGTCTCGCTCACCTGACTGTCCGCTCTGGGTGCTGACGGCGGCATCAAGAAACACTGCGCCGTCGACCTCGATGCACTCCTGGATAATATGGCTAGCACGGGAAAACATCTCCTTCAGCCTCTTTGATATGAGGCTTTCATGGAAGTCGGCGGCAAAGGATTCAACGCTCGGCCCTCTAGTTGGGCGTGGTGAACGAATCTGCGCGTCGGCCTCGGCGTCTGAGAGAATCGACCTCGGTCCGCCAGCACGGTATGAACGCGCCCGACGCGAGCGTCCGGCATTGGAGGCCCTGGAGATCAGAGTGACGTCTCCTGGGGGTGATCGAGATGGCGAAACTTGAACTTGGCGGCCAGCCCCAGGGGTTTCCTGGGGCAATATTTCTGCTTCGGCAGGTGACGGAGCATCAGCAACGTCGGCTTTGACGGGTTCGACAGGGGCAGACACTAGACTATGACCTGCCAGGTCCCCATTTACCATATCCCCATTGGTGTCTTCAGCTGCGGCCAAAACCTCTTGAGAGGAGCTTTGTTGGGGCATGTGCTGCTGGGGCTGGGGCTGGGGACGCGACGCTCGTTGTGGGGATTGCGATCGCGGCTTGTTGCTCCCGAGGCCAAGCCACCAGTCGTCGAGGTCGGTACGGCCCTCGATAAAGACGGCGAGGCCTTTGATCATCTTCTCGCTGCGTCTGTGGCTCTCGTCGGCCCTGGTCATGACAAGATGGGCCATGATGGTAAGCGACAGGTCGAGCAGAAACTTGGTCTCGGCCTTGCTCAGTCCTTGGCGGGGCTCGTCGCCCAGGACTGACAGGGTTCCGATGTTGAAGCCCGATTTGGTGGTGATGGGCATGGCGGCGAAGAAGCGCACCGAGGGATGTGTGACCACAAAGGGGTGCGTCTTGAACTCGTGGTCCTCGGCGAGGTCGTTGACTATCAGGGGGACGACGCGCCACGACCGCTGGCGCGGGCCATCGTCCTGCGCCGAGAGCACCTCGAGGGCGCTTCCGCAGAGCCCGAGGGATCTGGGCAGAGTCGTGGCGCCAAACAACAGTTCATCGTCGCCGTCTTGGGTGGCGCCCGACAAGAGACCGGATGTCTGGGTGACCTCGGTGAGGATGTACTGGTTGACCCGGTCGACCAGCGAGATCAAGGCATGCGTGCCGTTCAGGCGCAGCGCGGCGAGTTGGGCAAAGGCCGACAGCGCGGCATCCGACGAGCCAGGGCGCGTGGCCTGGTCCGGCGCGAAGTATCTGGCGGGCGAGGTCAGCACGGCAGGACCCAAGGTATCTAGCTGCCTTGCCTGATTGCTTTGACTTCTTCGTGTCTTGTTGTTTGTGTTTATGCTAGATTGGCACATACGTCCCAACCACCGATGCTCATGCGCGATGACGCAGCGTGGATGGAAGGCAGCGAGCGAAAATAAACACTTACTGGTAGAGGTCGCGTTCCCCTGCAGTCTCAAACGAAAACTCTCTCGTCTCCTCCGCCATTGCCGAATTCAAGGCCATGTCGACAGTGCACGACGTGCAGGGCCCAGTATGGAGCTCCATCGAAGACGGGCAAGATCGCCGTCTGAAAGCTCCCAGGTTCTCGGGCAGAATTGACCGTAGTGAGGTCAGGTCTCGAAAGACTAGAAAGTAAGGTAAAGGTGTTTGGGGCTTCTTGTGCTGTGGCTGAAGAGGTGCGGGGTCGGGGGCAGGACAGGACCCCTCGCCACCTACGGGGTAGGCTGTTACAGAAATCCCCAACGGAATTCACGATAGACGTTGACGAACCCGATGTGCACGTATGTGCAGGCAGACTTAGCGGCGGTCTAGAGCGCTCCACCGAGTTTTCGCATAATTAAGTTTAATGCGCTTGCCAACCAGATCGGTAAGGTACGTACGGAGTACACGTGTACATTCAAGGCACCTCCCAAGCCTTTCAAACATGGAGTGACGGTACAACGACTTGGCTGTCCCGCTGGCGAGTCAATTGTGGAGCTGCCATATCGGTCTCTCGGGGCTTCTCCAACAGAAGCGAAAAGCGACGAGAGTTTGGCATTGACTCGAGACCCGACAGAGCCTACTTGGTTCGCCATCGCACGATGCATCGCCAGGGAGTAGGCGCTAAAAAAGCCAAACACAATCTTCCACCTCTGCCGCGTGGGCCGGCGGGGACAGTCCCTGAAAGCGCTTCAACCTAAAGACCACCCAAAGTGCAGTGCTCGCTGCGTACCATCCCAGGTAGTTTACGGAATATTCACACTAGTAACTGTTTCTACTGTGCAATGGGATCTTGGTTTGACTAGTCTAGGGGTCCAAGTGCCAAGATAGGCCCTGCATTTATTTTCTCGCCTTACCCAAGGAAACACCCGAACCTCAAGGATGCCCACTACAAGTACTGCATCCGTACAACTGTTTCTCTCGTCTGACTTCTCTACTCTTCTCGGGTCTCTCGGTCCCTTTTCTCTTTTCTCTCCCCATACTTGCGGCCAACCTCTCGAGAGTCGTAGGTAAAGAAATGTGGGGCTGGTGTTGCCAGGCTTTGCAGAGTCAAAGAAGGAGGCGGAATGCACCACCTCAGCCAACCCCCAAAGGCGCTATATGTTTTGGATATGGGGTTGTTGCAGCTGGCCGTGCCGAGCTCCTCGGCCTCATACGAGGGCATCGTGGAGAGAAGGGTCTGGACCATTTTAGCACCCTTATATCGCGTGGGATAAGGCAAATATGGGACCATATGGCTTAGGCTGTCAGGCCCATGGCGATAACCAAGTGCGCAGCGACAGTTTATCGCGACTCCCACAGAAGGGCCTGGAACGCCTGCTGATAGTGACCATAGTTGAGAGGCCAAATTTCACAGCTATTAATTAAACTCCACTAACAGCGGGTCCAAGTCTGCCAACGAGGAGTCGCGATATTTTTGTGCAGAAAACTCAGTTAATTGCTGCTGGAGAATGGGCATGTGCGCAATGGCGGCAGCATTTCGGTGCTGTCCTTCAATCGTTGATCTCAGGACAAATCGGACGGCTCCGACCAGTCGCCATTGGTCCACTGACGGATCGGAACTGCTCCGTCTAAAGCTCATTGGACAGCCACGGCTGGGAAAAGCTGAGAATAGCCACAAGTGGCTGACGGACCCTTCATTAATCGCCTGAGGCACAAACCGGCCTCATCTGCCCGTCGCACGTGATAGAGCGGGGAACAACCACCTTGGAGGTGGGGTGCCCAAGAAACAACACGGCGCGATAACGCTTAGGTTCAGCAAAGATGGAAACTGAGAGCTAAACTGAGAGAGGGATAGACCGGCTCAGGACACTTCAAGTTATCGACCACCCTATCTATCTTCTATTATTTTCGAAATTTTTGTTCGCAACGATCTCGTCTCGTCTTCAGCTCCATCTTATCACATGCAAGAGGCGAGATAAGACGGATCATCAGGCGGACGAGATGATAAAAGCCGATGAGAAATGTGGGGCCGCGACCCGGTGCTCAGACTTTAGACTGGTTCGTTCGCTTTTCTGCCTCCCTGAACCGAAGCAGAATGCCTGAATTGTCGACAGCGGCGCTATCGACGCAAACTGAGCTGCAATGTAGTCAGCCAAAACAGACAAAATAATCGACATTGGCGTTGTTGACAGCAAGCTGAGCTACAATATGTGGTAAACCAGAATAGTCAACAAGGCGTTGCCGATGCAAGCTGAAAGGCACTATTTTCACTGTAAAATAGGGCTCCTCCCTCGTCGTCGCCATTTGCCCTCAGACAAAATCTACCTTTTTTTTTTGACAATATTTGGTACGCCGCTCGCTGTGCGTGACATCATCTCCAGGCCCTTTCGATCCAACACGCAACACCATGTCTATCACTCACGTCGTCCTCTTGGGGTTCAAGGAAGGCATCGCGCCAGAGGTTGTGAACAAAGTGCGTCTCAGTTATTCACGCACCTCCACAGCGCGCCGCAGGCAGGCGCTGATGTTATGGCCAGGCATGTGGGAGCTTCCTCGCGCTGAAAGATGCTTGTGTCCTCCCGGGCACGACGACCCCGTACATTCTCTCCCTCAAGGGGGGCAAAGATAACTCCATCGAAGGTCTCCAGGCATGGCTTCCCAATTTCCCACATCAATTGTCCTCGTCCTACTGACCGTCCATCCCAAAAGCGCGGCGTTACTCATGGCTTTGTCGTTGAGTTTGCTTCGCCCGTGGACAGAGAGTATTATGTGAACACGGACCCTGCGCACCAGGCATTCAAGGCCATCATTGGCGAATTGGTGGAGGAGTTGAAGACAGTTGTTGTCGACTTTTCAGGCGGTATCTTCAATTAGCTTCTGGAAATGTCTCGATGCAACATTGAACTTTATAGCTAGCTTCCAGGTCTAGGCATGGAAACACCCTTCAGGCAATCCATGAGGGCAAGTGGACGGGATGATGCTCACCTCAGGGATGCCCAGAGACGCTTCAGTCAAAATTCAGCACATTCGCCCCTCTTCCACCCCTGAATCTCAGTGATGTATCCACTTGCAAATCCACCCCACGGGAAATGGTAGGCGGCTGGCCGTTCCTCGACGGCAAAATGCTCGCCTGCCTTGGTAAGCTGCATTTACTTGCTCGGTAGTCATCAACGGCAGCGAATCAAAGCTGAATCACGAGTCGTGGTGGCAGAGTGGTCTAATGCGCAAGACTAGAAATCTTGTTCCTTCGGGAGCGTCGGTTCAAATCCGGCCTACGACTATTCAGTTCTTTCTTTTGCCATTCTTTTGTTTTTGTTCTGCCCTTTTGTTATTACGATGTTTGGGTTAGTGCACTTGTTATATTTTCCGACATGCCGTGGGCGGTAAATCGACCGAGTGATTCAAGTCTCAACCCAAACACCAAGCTGGATAACCGGAAGAGGATAGTTTTTGGCTGGATCTATTGAGCCATTGCATCAAATAGCAAGGTAGGGCAACTCTTCATTCCAAACTTCGGTATACCGATGAACGAATATTTATTTACCTAGTTCCAGATAGCTGGACTAAAATATTTATTGGTCCTCGACTTTTCAAACCCCCTATTTAAGGGTTATAATGAGTGACTCCTTTGTCCCGCCCAGAAAAAGGGCATTACCTCTTCGTCTCGTAACACCAATTCTTCATTAGACAAGAAAGAAAGATGTATCAAAGTTGATATGTGCAAAATATCACTTCCAGGCTGGTTCAACCAAGACGATGTATTGTGTGAAAATAAATCCCTCTGTTTTCAAGAGCTGTATTAAAGGATGTCAGATGGAATGTCACAACTTAACCTCCTCTCATTCTCAAGGAGGAAACCCTCACAAGTAAGGTCACTGCAAGGGACCCAGGAGTTGCTACCCTGCCTGACTTCCAGGTAAATATCCCTTGAAAACAACGCCGCTCACACTCCCTTGCTTTTTCGATATTTTCTTTTCATAGACAACCAACGAACTACAGCCAAACCTAGTGATATAATTATTCCGGAAGCCCTCAAAAGAAGCCAAGGACTTGGCCTATAAACCAAGTCTACACTCCAGTGCCTGAAAAATTGTTGTCGTCGTACGGACAAAGAATGAAAAGAATAATGTGAAAACCCGGCCAGGAAATCCCTCTAATAGGTGGTTTTGGTGAAGAGGTAGGTAGTCCTCCAGGATTCCAAAATACGGACTCCAAGAGCTAATACATACCTCGGCGAAAGTCTTTAGAACGAGCAGTAAGTTGCTAAGGCTTTTCAGATCTTAGAAAGTCCCCCGTTAATAAAAAAATTCACGACTGGACTGCAGATGGGTAAAGGAGAGACGCAGAACAACATGAGAGGAGCCGCAAAAAAGGCTTTGCGGAAAAGGTCAAAATGGAATAGCCTGTTGCCAACGCATCCGATGTTGGGCGGGCAGTATGTCAATTAGGTATGAACGGCAACCTTTCCTTAAGGCGCACCGAGAAGCACAAAGTTCGGTTTCTCACCCCCCGGCGCCAATCTTCGTGTCATACTATACCCTAGGTGCTAGCCCAGGTAGCTACACCGACAGAGGCTCGCGGGTTCACAGCAGCAGAGGGTCGTGAAACCGAATAGAAGCTCGGCAACTTGCCGGCTTGCTTAACTACCTCCTCCAGACGCGGCCCTGCAGCTTACCGTTTCCGTCAACTAGTTATCGACGACAATTCCAGCGGCTCGGCATAGAAGCAATTAACTGGTAGCCAGCGAGGAAGGTTGGTAAGCAAGTAACCGGGAAGCTCTGGCGGGGAGGGAAAATAAAGGAGGATGCAGTGACTGGTCTCATATACAGTCTAGACTCTAGAGCGAGCCAAATAGTTCCCTGCCTGACTGATCACGGCGGAAACATGTCACTGTGCCACAGAAGGGGAGGACAGCTCTGTCTTAACATGGCAGGAAGCCTTTCCGCAAGAGAGAGCGGCGTGCAGCATCCGTCCCCTTTCCCACCCGGCTGTTTCAAAACACAAAGCACTATAAGACGAAGCACTATCGCTATCCTGCAGGCTGTGTTACATGTTTATCTTTTCTGGGTTGCCTATCAAGGGGCTAGCAAGCGGGGTGGGTTGCGTAGGTTGCCTGCGGTGCGGGCCGGTTCGCTTCCGTAGGTTAAAGTGAACCCATCCAAGGGGTTGATGTCGTCCAACATGAGTCCTCCCCCGCGGGGCGTGCTCTCGGAAAGAGACGAAAGATGCAGTGAAACCGCCATCCTAGACCGAGAGGGCACCCGCACGGCGCACGGGCGCGGGAGCGGACCGACTTTCTGTTGGCTTCCCTACCAGACGAACAAGCGAGGAATGGTGTGATACGTTTGTACTACATGTACAAGATATGTGTAGGACAGGCGAGACCATGTCTACGTTAGTAGCGGATGACGGAGTAAGCCCGTCTCGCAACAGTTGACCTATGGCCGGGCCTGGATACCCCTCGTCCGGCGCCGTACAGCTGCCGTGCAAGGGGGGTCGCCAGACGGTCCTATCCCGTGGTCGCGGAGAGTCCGAGGTTGTTCGGACTTCAGGCCAGTCCGGAGAGCCTATAGGCTGGGGCCATATAGATAAGGTTCGGAGAAGGATTGCTGGTAGGATCGTACAAACATCGGATCGGGAAAAGAAGAGACCAAACACTGGACGAGGAAAGGCACAGGCCAAAATAACCTTATCTTGTCTACTCAAAACACCACGGTCCCTGTATCTGGTTAAACAGCCCTGATTGCCTGATCGTCGCGATTTTCCAATTGTCTGGTCAATTAGCATACCGAGGTTCCCGGGATTAACATAACACCCGGCATGTTTACCAGGATGCCACGGAAACAATTAGTTTTGCCTAAAGAGGAGACCGCGTTGGCTTGGCGAAAAACAACAAAGCAGCTTTGAACGACTCGTTTGACATTGCGGTGTCTGTGTCTGGATGGTGATCGGGAAATGTACAAGAGTGTGACCTTGTTCCTTGCCCTGGGGTATGTCCTATCCAAAATCCATCATGATCCAAAAAAGAAAATTGGCCCAGACACAAACATGTCAGAAGACAAGCCGATAAAAGGAGAAGCAAAAAAAAGGAAAAGATCATCCCCTATCAGGCGCCCCTGTTGCTTGGAACACCGTCGGCTTGTAAGAAGGTTTTGGAAAGAGACTACACATCCATCTAGTACTGGCCCATGGAAATCTCTAGGTGGACCTTGGGCGAGTTCAAGTTGAGACCAACTCCATCCTCGGCCTCCATGCCTTTGGTGTATGCGTTATCTCCCGTGCCGCCGGGGAGCATGTGCGAGCAATAGGTAGTGCCAAAGTTGCAGACAGAGCCCGTCGGGACAGGAAGACCATAGTGTTGAGCAACCAAAGCCGAGCAGTCGGCGCCCGACCATCCGCCGTTGCTGGTGTTGCCGACGTCGAACTCTATCCAAAGCCCTGCGTACTGGCCGTTCTCCGCCTTCGGGATCTCGTTGGGAGCAAACGCGCATGTGCCCTGGCTGTTGATGTCAGCGACGACGGTCTTAGTCTGACCGGGCGCCACTGAGAAGTTGAGTTCCCCATCAGTCGGGAACATGGGTGTCATGGCCCCATCAGGGCCGATCTTGTTGGCACAGATAACCTGGTAGGGAACGGAATCGTGGTTGGTGTACGTCATGACGCGGTCGTACTTGTCGGCTATCGAGTTGTCGACGACCATCAAGTTGGAGCCCCATTTGCAACCACTGGCCTTTCCAGTGTTGCCTTCATACAGAATTTGACCTAGGGTTGCACGCTTCACCTTGGCGTTGGCGCCGCAGAAAGGGGTGTAGGCGGGTGCTGCCGGCGCGGAGGGAGAGGGCGCGGGAGCAGCAGATTCCTTGAGGACCGCGGGTGACGCCGAGGGGGCGGGGGCGGCGGCGGGGGGGTCGGCCGCCTCGGTGGTGTGGACAGTCTTGACGAACTCGAGCGCATCGCGCTGCTTCAAGTGGGCCGAGCGGTGGACGTGGTGCCCAGAAGGGTGCGCCGCCGCGCCAATAGCGCCGGCGACGAAGAGAAAGTGTGAGAGTTGCATGTTGCCGAAAGGCGTGTCTATGTGACGTGTGAAATCGTTGCGTTGTTCGTTTTGATCGTTTGAGACGTCTTGTGATGTGGGCTTGGTGAAGCGGGTAGGCGCGTGTGGGCGAGACTCTTCGAGGTTTCAAACCGTTATCTGCCGAATTCTCAATGCTTCCAGGGTCATGTGTGGTGGTAGCGATGCGTGCAATCGATGCTCTGCAATCGGGACAGCGATTCACGACCGTGATGCCTAGCACGATGCCAAAGGAGCGGCTGAGATGCGATATCTCGAAAAAAGAGTGGATGGAAGCGCGAAACTGCGACGGCGTTCGGAGAAGCAAGAAGGAAAGGAGAGACAGATAAATGGTGTGTCGAAACGAGAGACGACCCAAGATTGGAGAGCAGGGGGGTCAGGAAATGAGCCTGGGAAGCGTGCTAATAAATCCCGGCTCAATTTGTGCTCTCGCCTTGGCCCCCGGGCACGCAGGTCCCAATCGCCTCTCATTGGCCTTCGGGGTCAAGGTTGGCCCCGCCGCCACGATTGGTACTGAGCTGGTCTCTTGCCCAAGCCATCTGGGGGAAGCGGCAATCAATCAGCGCCCATTTCGGCCAACAGCTTGTTTTGTCCCGACTCACCAACGTGTTGCTTGCTGGATAGTGCCACGCAAGCCGGGACTAATGCGGACTTCGCCAACTTTTCAGGCACATCTGCCAGTCACGACCCGGTCGTGGACGTCAACAAGTGCTGCTGATCTCGGAAGTTCCACCACATTCTTTGCAGACCATGGCTCGGCAGATACGCTTGCGTGAGTTTCCTGGTCGCGTTGCTCCCGCCCGTAGTGCATTTCGCGGACCAGAGGCGTAGCCACCTCTCTCGGTAAGGGCTGGTGAAGATTGTCGGTTGGCCGTGGCGACTGGCGTGGCCGTGGCCTTATTCCCGTCGGCGTCTGGGCGGCGGGAATTGAGATGAGAGCGCCAGCGCGACAAGACTACGCTAACACTATCGTTGGTGAATATGCCCGAATTCTGTTAACCGGTGCCCCCTTGGCCCTCTGAACTTGTAATGGGACGATGCATCTCGCCCAGTGTTTGGACCCTCGCCCAATCATTTTGTTTTGGTGCACAGAGCTACGCTACTTCACATCCGCGTTCCTGAAACGCTCACTGCAGGGCAGACGAAGGCAGACGAACGACCCCAATACAGTAGCACTGGCTCCATACAGCATGACATGCAAACGCAGC